TTCATAGATGCGAACACTCGATTGTTTTACTTTCGCAAAATGAGCATCAACAACTCCACAATCGAGTTTTTAAATTCTTGCAAACAACAATTTCATAGTCCTTGACTTCGCGTTTTTCTTCACGAATCATCCCTCAATCATCAATCCAATTGCGAATCAAAAACTCATATGTTCTTGCTTTATCGATTCATCGACTACACTCATACAAATGCGAACAATACTCAATTTCAAAATCGATTGAAACTTATAGCAAAGCTAAATCCAACTTCGCATTCAAAGCAGTGTTATTGATTGCATTCATGAAATACTAACAAGATAATATATTATAATACAAATATACATATTTTAGGTGGTGAAATCGTAACAGCCTAACAATTTGGTATGCAACTTTATTAAATCAATAAAAAAAGTTATGCAAATTGGAAAAATAAATAAAAATATATCTTTTGTTGTTTTGATTAAGGAAATAAATATTTTATATGAATACTCACCAGGAAAAACGCATATTATACATTCCCGATGAGTATGCAACATGGTTTTCATCAGTTTAATTCATTGATTAGTACGAAGGCTTAGGAAATTTTTAACACAAACTTTTCTCCTGTGATGTTTTCCCATTAACATAGCAAGTTATACAATACGAACATAACACTAACCCTAATACACAAGGTTTAATAGAGTTGACCGGCTTGACTTGATGACTTGACTTGACTCAAGATTGACGATTGTCACAATTTGGGAGAGATTTGACATTCTTGGAGAGATTTCTAATACAGAGAGATATTTGAGAGAGATTTCACATACTTGGAGAGATTTGGGAGAGATTTGACATTCTTGGAGAGATTTCTAATACAGAGAGATATTTGAGAGAGATTTCACATACTTGGAGAGATTTGGGAGAGATTTGACATTCTTGGAGAGATTTCTCATACAAAGAGATATTTTGGGAGAGATTTCACATGCCTAGAGGGATTTGGGAGAGATTTGACATTCTTGGAGAGATTTCTAATGTAGAGAGATATTAGAGAGAGAGATTTCACACACTTGGAGCGATTAGGGAGAGATTTGACATAGACAGAGATAGAGTGAAAACGATTGAGAGAGGATCCATGTGTGACAATTGTGAGTGTCCGGCATCGCAATGCATGGTTCGTAAACCCTGTTAAGCCTTGTTTAAGGATCTTACACATTCCCGATGAGTATGCATCATTGTTTTAACAGTTTGGCTTGCCACGTACTATAATTTTTAGGTTAAAGAGGTCTAGTTGTACGTACTTTTCGATTCATGTTTTCTTATTAGAATAGTGGGTTGTTTAGTAAATACTGAACGTAAGTCCAAGTACACAAGGGTTAGTTGAGCTGACCGGTTTGACTCGTTGACTTTATTTGACTTTGAATTGACCAGAATTTGACGGTTGTCACATCCGCAAGCAAAGGGAAGAGCTCGGGGTGACAGCATCGCACACACCGCAGCATAGCTTTTATCCTGGGGATGTCTCTTGATGTTTTGGATTGATGTAGTATGATACAGTTTTCCGCACAATATTTTATTATGTTTTGGGGATACATCGCGTGTGTTTATGTTATGATACTTATATTATGGTTTTGATTATATGGAAAAACGAAAATTTTTGGGTCGTTTCATAATTAGTCTATACCTCTTTACGCAAGGTACTATGGTCACCAATAGTAATAAGGGGGGTTTAGAATCCAATGATTAAACAAACAATAAAAAACATAAGCAATCAACTAAATGCGTGAATTAAATTCAGAATTTGTAAGGACTCCAACTCCATGTATGATAATTTAGCAATGTGACTCAAAGATGACACAATATTCGTTCAATTCTATCTAAGTTGGTACTTGAAAGTGCTAATAAGCTCTAACACTTCCCATTCACCATATTAATTAACCAAAACAAGCTCTTTGATTAACCCTCACCTTATTAACCTAATCTAAACAAGCTCTTAGAATTAGATTATAAGATTGCATGAAGCTTTATGTGAATGTTCCCAACAACACCCAATACTCCTCATAAGCTCGGGAGTGTAAAAGTGTATGAATAAGATTTACACTAAATTCATTCAATAGAGATTAATTTAATGTTTGTTACTTGTTCAATTTCACAAAACAATTACGGATTTTGTAAAGGAGATAACTTGAATGACCTAACCCTAATTCAAATGGCCAATAAGAATCATAATTAGAATCAAACATTCGATTGAAGCAAAATCAAATTCATTAGATAGAAATTAAGAACAAACATCATGTCATATGATTGAAGTCACAACTAGAAAGTCAAAACATGAGTTGGAGAAATTAGGGTTCTAGCCACACATGGCTAGAACAAGATCACAAGAATAAAAGATGGAATTAAAGTGCAATTACAACTTACAAATACTAGAAATAATGTTTCCAAATCATTGCTAATCAAACCCTTGCAAAAACCTTTGAAAATCCTGCTCCAAATGTGCTCTGATATGTTCTGTCTATCTAAAAAATGGCCCTTAACCCGTAATATGAAAGATAAGGAAAACTACCAAAAGTTGGTTTCTGGGTCGAACACGGCCTGTGTTAAAATAAGCTAAACTGACACGGGTCGTGTTTAGCAACACGCCCCGTGTTGATTTGCACTAAACTGACACGCCCCGTGTTCAGCATGGTCAATAGCTCCTATTTTGGTCAAACACGCCTCGTGCCTACTTTTCAGTGTAAATTCAACACGCCCTGTGTACCTCTCTAACTCCAATTCCAAACTTGATTTTTCTGACTTTTTCGTTCTTTGCCCGATCGTCCCGAAATCTTCACCAATGCTTCCCGACACTTCCCAAAGCGCGTTCCAACCTACGGTTTACCTGAAAAAGACATAAAAGTGTGCAAATAAGGTTGTTCTAGAGACTAACATGAATATGATGAAATGCAAGGAAAAGGAAGAACAATTGTGCTAAATATATGCATGAAATGGGACTAAAAGGTGCACAAATAGCACCTAACAAATCTCCCCAAGCTTAAACCTTTCTTGTCCTCAAGAAAGAACAAGAACCAGACAAACAGGACAATTTCTAGATGGCAAAAAGAAACTTAGAACGAAAAGGGGATGAAGAATCCTAAAGGTTAAGAATGAATGCATGCAATGTAATGCCATGAAAATTTAAGGTATGTACAAAATGCACTTGAGAAACAAAATGAAACAAAGGAAAAGAAGATTAAGAACAAACACAAAATATGTACTTTTGTAACTAAATAAATGTACGATCAGACTTTACATCGATAGGGCTCCGATCATTGATACCTTGGCAACCATCCTGTTTCCTTCCACATATCACAGACTCTCAATGTGAGGAAGACCCGAAATGGTGTAACCCAATAATCCAACCATTGTTTTATTTAATCTTTATACCTTACTAAGCTTTATGGGCGAAAATAACATAGTCCGGATTTCATGTCCTTAAGACTAGATGGCCAAGAATCAGAATCGATGCATCCTTAAGAACCCGTCACGGCGAATCAGCTTTCGCTGAAACAGTGAGCCCACCCGAAGGGGCTCAGCTCCTATGCTTTCACTTTTTCGAGAGCCACAAGTATCATATCACACAGTTCTTCATTCGCCATATTTGACTTGAATTGGCTTTTGATTTGATTGAACTTTGATTTGTACTTCGTTTTGAATTTGGATTCTTCAATCTTCATTTTTGGAATTTCTTTAGATTTCTTCGTTTTAACATTTGAAATTCTGATTAGGGTACTAGATATGACAGTTGTACCCTTCCTTCTTTCTTGACTGTGTGGGTCTGATACTTAAGCTCTCTATTACCACGGGGGTAACGTGTGTCAACAAATAGGTCCGTGTTCTGTGGGTTCAGAGTTGCCGATAAAGATTCTTTTTAAACATTCAAAAGCAAATCATCCTAAAGCTGTTATTACCGCCCAAAAAACGTTTCAATAAAATTCTTTTTATCATCTAAGGCTAGGGTCTCAAATTACGGTGTTTGGGTCCCCTAGTTATGATAGCTGATTCTACGCTTCCAGTAACTACCCGGTCGCCTCAGAATTCTTTCGTTTCATGGAGCAATTTTATGTAAAGAGTGTCATCATCTCGTATACTTTTTTTTTTGAAAAAATGAAATAAAAAATTTTGAAAATAAGAAAATGCATGCATGAGTATGAGTGAACCTAATATACAAGTCTACTTCTCCCCAAGCTTAAAGATAAGCATCATCCCCGATGCTTGGAGAAGGTGGAACAACCTAAAACGGAGGTGGAGGAGGAGGATAGTAGCTGGGGTTTCGAGTCCAAGCCCAGAAGTCCTCCTCATGTTTGCGTTGACGCTCTTGATCCCGAGCGTACTGGGTGGTGAAGGTGGAAAAATTCTGGGTCAGGCTGGTAATATCCTGCTGGTAGGTGTCGAGGTGGGTATAGATTGATTGGAATTTGTCCATATACTATTGATGATAAGGCGGGGGTGCAGCAAAATAGGATGAGCTGCCACCACCGGTGGGAGAAGCATGGTGAGGCTCCTCCTCTTCTTCATCATCATCACCATCTTCCTCGTTTTCTTCACTTTGCTCATCTACCTCGGTGGAGTATGAGTGGGGGAAGATGTATGGAATGATTTGCCAATCGGTCATGTGAATAGGATTTCGGAAATCAAGAATGCCTTTATTTTATGGTGTGATGAGGAGCTTTGGATCATGATTTTAACCCACGGTCCAATGGTGTGTGCCATCGCCTGCCAAACGGAAGAGTCACATGGACTTAAGGATAGTAGTGATGAGATAAGGCTCACCCGACAGTGGTTGATGGGGATCGGGGTATGGGGCTCGGATGTGGGCGCTCTTGGCGAGCATGCTGACAATACCCCCGCAAACAATCTTTCCCGATCGGGATGTGCTAAGGCGGATGAGCTTGTGGTACAGAAACTGACCATAATGAGGAATGAGGTTATTCTCGGGATGGGTCATTGCATAGAGGATTTTGAGTTCTAGCACGCTGATGATGCTTCACTCCTCTCTAGGGGCGACGAGCGAAACAATGATTCTATGGGCTACCTTAATCATACGATGGATAAGTGATGAGGCTTTAGCAGCGCTAGAGACATATGGGTGTAATTGGATGAGCTGGGTCCACCATGTCATGTCAAAGTATCCTTGAATTGGGTCAGTGGGGCCAAATGTGTTTTCCGTTAGGGCCCCCACAATGGCATTGATTTGATCCAAAGAGATCTCATAGTCTTGATTCACTAGACGAAAGTAGAGGATCCCATGGTCTAAATAAACTGAGGATAGAAACTCAGCTGTTGGGATTTTATAACTCAATTCATGGACCCTCAACAAGCCGTGCCACCCTATGTTGCGAAACATGGTTTTGACTTGATTGTAAACATGCAACTCTTTTAGGGATGGAACATGCGCGAATTTTTGGATGGCATGAACCAGTTTAAGGAATGACTCAAGTTTTCCCTATTGAATTGGGCCAAGACATACGACACCACAATGAGACGGGTTGGCTGGGGGTGTTGGGGACCTAGATGGAGGTGATGGGGATTTAGATGGAGGTGATGGAGTCCTAGGCTTTCGACAGCGGGCGGATGATTTGGTTTGTCTTGATCTTTTGGAAGATGCAGCTTCCATAGTCAAGTTTAGGACAAATTAAAAGTCAATAGGTCAAAATGTCAAAAAGTCAACTGTTGACGGGTCCAGTCAACTTCGAATTTGGCCACCAAAATTTCGTGGGAAATTTGGTTTTCAAAGATTTCCTACTAAGAATCAAGTCCAAATAGACCACAATTTCAAGTAACTTGACTCAAGAACACAAAATCCAAAAGTTAAGAGTTTGGAGGAATTTACCGAATCGTGTGTGGGATTGTGTTGTTCTTGATGGAAAAGATCTTCCTTAACCTCCCCAAGCTTGCCCTCTTAAGATTAAGACACTAAAACACTAAAATCACATGAGATTTTCGGATCTAGGGTTTGTCAAAAAACCCCAAATCCACCATTAAAATGCAAGAAAATGGTGTTTAAGATGGAGAAGATGAAGTGTAGATGAAAGCCTAAATCTTGAAGAAATTGAAAGGTTTTTGATGAAAATTGGACCTAAGGTTTTTGGTGGGAGAGAGGGGTTGTTAGGAAGTGAAAGTGGGGATAAATGAGGTCAAGTCCCGATTTTTTTTCTTTAAAAAGGTTCGGAACTGTTGCGCGAACATGACCCATGTCGCCCCAGGCCAAATTGACACGCCCCGTGTTGGGGGGGGGGGGGGGTTTATGCTGAGTTAAGGATGAACACGACCCGTGTTGGGTCAAGGCCAAAACAAACACGACCCGTGTTGCTCTCTGGAAGAATTTGGGACTTTTTTGCACGAACACGACCCGTGTCCATTATAGGCCAAAACCAACATGACCCGTGTTGCTCTTTGGAAGAGTTTGGGACTTTTTTTTCACGAACACGACCTGTGTTTCGTTAAGGCTAAGAGGGACATGACCCGTGTTAGTCCCTGGATGCTAATCCCCACTTTTTGAACTTGAAAATTTTCCTCTCTTTGAAATGAAATACTTCTGCATTCCTAGGTCCGTTTAGTGATTTTAAATCATGATTGAATGCATTTGGAACATTGAAAACCAAAAACTCAAAGAAATGGAAATTGTTTTTAAATAAAAGACAGAAGTACCCCCGGGTTACCTCCCGGTTAGCCGCCCTTGTTTCAAGTCGTTGGTTCGACTTTGCCCCCGCATATGCTTCATTCTAAGTATTTGGGCCTCTCCAACACATCAATCTTCTTGCCACCTCCTTCAACGGAACCTTCAACCTTCCTTTGGCTTTCTTTTTGCGCATAAACCAAAAAGGACTTAACCCTTTAATATCAGAGATTATCCACTCAATCCTTTTTTGGTATTTGTTCAGCATGGTTATCAACTCACTCTCTTCCTTCTTCGATAATTTATTTGAGTTGATGACCGGTTGAGTGCTCTCCTTCTCGACATGTATTTGCTTTATAGGGCCCAGTGGAGTTTTTGCTCCAGAATCTTGTGCTTGTTCCACCGGTGGAAGGAATTTGGCTTTAGTGTTGGGGGACTCTACTTCTCTTCCATCAATCCACATGTGCTTATCATCCTTGAATTTCAAAATCTCCAGCACCTCCTCGTTTGTACCGCACTCCTTTGCAAGTTCTTTGGCTTTGTACCTGTCTAATTTTTGTGACAAGACTAACTCCACAAAATCATTGTTAGTCGAGTTTAAGCTCTTTTCAGCCAATGGCTGGATCATATTCACAAAATTAACAGATTGAACATCAGAAGGAACCTTTTTTTCTTCATGAACATTGAAGTTGATAACTTCACCATCAAATTCCATACTTAAAGTTCCGTTGTAGACATCAATTTTTGTTTTAGAAGTTTTAAGAAAAGGTCTACCCAAAAGTATGGAACTTGAACTTGGAGAGTCATCATCTCCCAAATCTAAGACATAAAAATCATTTGGGAAGATAAATTCATCGACTTGCACTAACACATCCTCTAGTACACCCTTTGGGTGTACCAAAGACCGGTCGGCAAGTTGGATGATCACACCGGTTTTGCTCAATGTTCCTACACCAATTGATTTGAAAAGAGAATATGGTAGGACATTTACGGATGCACCTAGATCGAGCATGGCTCGAGGTACATAAAGATTTCCGAATTTGCAAGGTACGGTAAAGACACCGGGATCCTTACACTTCGGGGGCATCTTCTTTTGCAAAACTGTGGATACATGCTCCCCAACTGTTACCACTTGATTTTCTTTTAATTTCTTTTTAGATACTCAAAGATCCTTAAGGAACTTTGCATATCTAGGTACCTGCTTGATGGCCTCGAGGAGTGGAATGTTGATTTGAACTCTCTTGAACATTTGCATGATCTCACTCTCCTCCCGTTCTTTCTTCGTGCTCTTTAATCTTTTGGGAAATGGAGCAGGTGTGGATTTAGACTCAGTGATGAAGGGCTTCTTTTCGATTGTTTTCTCTTCCTTCTTCTCTTCTTTGGTTTCCTCTTCAACCACTATTTCTTCTTCCTTTTGATCAACTGACACTTTTGGACCATCATAGCTCTTTCCGCGTCTCAATGTGATGGCACACACGTTGCGCCTTGGGTTTGTTTTAGTTTGTGCAGGTAACTTTCCTTGAGATTCTAATTTGCTTACAGAAGTGACAAGCTGTGAAACTTGTTTCTCTATGTTCTTTATGCTTGCTTTTGTCTCTTGTTGGAAAGCTTGTGTACTAGTTGACAAACTCTTCACTATATCCTCTAAGGACATACTTGATGAACCCGATTGTTGAGGAGGGTGCTGTGGCAGCCTTGGCTGGAAGTTTTGTGGTGGAAAAGGTGGTCTTTGCTGGTATTGATGTGGTTTACTTGGTTGATAATTTTCCTGTTGATGTCCTCCCTAACCTTGATTGTTACTCCATCTTTGATCACCCCGTGGCTGCTCATATCCCCTTTGATTAGACCCAAGAAAACCTCCCATGGCTTTTGCTTCTTCATAATCTTCCTCTTGAAGTTGAGGAGACATGTCGGTTGGATGCCTCACTTGAGTACAAATACCGCATGGGTGGGGTGTAGGTTGCACACCTTTGTCTTTGGCCAACATCATGACTACTTTTGTGAGCTTGGACAATTGAGCTTCAATCTGAGGAGTTTGAACTTCTTTTACACCTCGGGGTGCGTCCGTGTACCATTCTTCATCATGGCTTGAATGTTTGGAATCTTCATCCATGTTCTTGATTAGATTGCGGATTTCAGTAGGAGTCTTGTCGGTTAGAGATCCGTCACTGGAGGCATTAAGAAGCCTTCTTTCCATTGGAGTCATTCCTTCAATGAAATATTGGAGGAGCTGGTATTCGGTAATTCCATGCTTTGGGCATCGAGCACAAAGTTTCTTGAATCAATCCCAATATGTGTGAAAAGCTTCTCTCTTGTGCTGTTTGATTCCAATGATTTCCCTCCGTAGGGCGGAAGCTTTCATCTCGGGAAAATACTTGTCCAAGAACAATCTCGCAAGATCTACCCAAGTAGTTATCGTCCCCGGTGGGAGGTCATAAAGCCAATCTTTGGCCGCGTCTTGCACCGCAAAGGGGAATGCCCTAAGATTGATTTGGTCCTCCGTGACATTGTGTGGTTTCATACCCACACATGCTACATGGAACTCGGTGAGGAACTTGTGAGGATCTTCATTCTCCAAACCTCTAAAAGTTGGAAGTAAGTGGATAAGCCCAGATTTTAGTTCCAAATTAGTGGCAGTTGGGTATGTGATACAAAGAGGTTGTTGAGTCACCTCTTGTCTTAACCATTGACGAAGAGTTTGTTCGGGTGGTGGGTTTGGAGGACCTTGATTCCCTCCAGGGTTATCTGCCATGGCTTAAGAATTGGGTGATGTTTCTGTAGGTGAACTGTTTAGGATATTATGAATAAGTGAAGAAGGTAGAGTGATATTTATGGGTGAGGCTAGTTGTGGTGAGAGTGATGGGCTTTCTGTTTCTGATGCGAATACACTTGAGAGGGGTATGTCCTCCAAAATGTTGATGATCAGGGGATTGGATGATGAAGAAGTACTGGAAACCGGTTGCCTCTTACGAAGCTTGGCTTGCTTCCTTAACTTCTTTGCAGTTTTCTCTATCTCCAAATCAATTGGCAATGGCGTACCTATACGAAAAGATCTATGCATAAACAATTAGTAACATCGTGTCCCCGACAACGGCGCCAATTTGTTAGGCGTGTCAGACCCAACAAATAAAGGGGTACGATATACTCCAAAATAGCACTACTATATTGCACTAAAAGGTAGTACAAGGCAAGCAGGGTCGATCCACAGAGACACGGGATAATTAGTCTATACCTCTTTGCGCAAGGTACTATAGTCACCAACAGTAATAAGGGGGGTTTAGAATGCAGTGATTAAACAAACAATAAAAAACATAAGCAATCAACTAAATGCGTGAATTAAATTCAGAATTTGTAAGGACTCCAACTCCATGTATGATAATTTAGCAATGTGACTCAAAGATGACACAATATTCGTTCAATTCTATCTAAGTTGGTACTTGAAAGTGCTAATAAGTTCTAACACTTCCCATTCACCATATTAATTAACCAAAACAAGCTCTTTGATTAACCCTCACCTTATTAACCTAATCTAAACAAGCTCTTAGAATTAGATTATAAGATTGCATGAAGCTTTATGTGAATGTTCCCAACAACACCCAATACTCCTCATAAGCTCGGGAGTGTAAAAGTGTATGAATAAGATTTACACTAAATTCATTCAATAGAGATTAATTTAATGTTTGTTACTTGTTCAATTTCACAAAACAATTACGGATTTTGTAAAGGAG